GGGAAAGATAGTGGAGTGGTTTCGTTTGCTTTCTCCAAAGATTCCTTTTCTTTATTATCTGTAAATTGCCATGACTTCTTGGGAAAAGATAGTGGAGTGGTTTCCAATTGCTTTCTCCAAAGATTCCTTTTCTTTATTATCTGTAAATTGCCATGACTTCTTGGGAAAGATAGTGGAGTGGTTTCCGTTATTTCAAAGATTCTTTTTCTTTTATTATCTGTAAATTGCCAAGACTTCTGGGAAAATAGTGGAGGGTTTCCGTTGCTTTCTCCAAAGATTCCTTTTCTTTTATTATCTGTAAATTGCCATGACTTCTTGGGAAAGATAGTGGATGGTTTCCTGTTGCTTTCTCCAAAGATTCCTTTTCTTTATTATCTGTAAATTGCCATGACTTCTTGGGAAAGATATCTGGTTTCCCGTTGCTTTCTCCAAAGATTCCTTTTCTTTATTATCTGTAAATTGCCATGACTTCTGGGAAAGATAGTGGAGTTTCCCATTGTTCAAAGATTTCTCCAAAGATTCCATGACTTTCTTTATTATCTGTAAATTGCCATGACTTCTTGGGAAAGATAGTGGAGTGGTTTCCGTTATCTTCTCCAAAGATTCCTTTTCTTTATTATCTGTAAATTGCCATGACTTCTTGGGAAAGATAGTGGAGTGGTTTCCGTTATCTTCTCCAAAGATTCCTTTCTTTATTATCTGTAAATTGCCATGACTTCTTGGGAAAGATAGTGGAGTGGTTTCCCGTTATCTTCTCCAAAGATTCCTTTCTTTATTATCTGTAAATTGCCATGACTTCTTGGGAAAGATAGTGGAGTGGTTTCCCGTTATCTTCTCCCAAAGATTCTTTTTCTTTATTATCTGTAAATTGCCATGACTTCTTGGGAAAGATAGTGAGGGTTTCATCTTCTCCAAAGATTCTTTTCTTTATTATCTGTAAATTGCCATGACTTCTTGGAAAGATAGTGGAGTGGTTTCCCAAAGTTATCTTTCTCCAAAGATTCCTTTTCATTATCTGTAAATTGCCATGACTTCTTGGGAAAGATAGTGGAGGGTTTCCCAAAGATTCCTTTTCTTTATTATCTGTAAATTGCCATGACTTCTTGGGAAAGATAGTGGAGTGGTTTCCCGTTATCTTCTCCAAAGATTCTTTTTTCTTTATTATCTGTAAATTGCCATGACTTCTTGGGAAAGATGGAGGAGTGGTTTCCCGTTATCTTCTCCAAAGATTCCTTTTTTATTATCTGTAAATTGCCATGACTTCTTGGGAAAGATAGTGGAGTGGTTTCCCGTTGCTTTCTCCAAAGATTCCTTTTCTTTATTATCTGTAAATTGCCATGACTTCTTGGGAAAGATAGTGGAGTGGTTTCCCGTTGCTTTCTCCAAAGATTCCTTTTCTTTATTATCTGTAAATTGCCATGACTTCTTGGGAAAGATAGTGGAGTGGTTTCCCGTTGCTTTCTCCAAAGATTCCTTTTCTTTATTATCTGTAAATTGCCATGACTTCTTGGGAAAGATAGTGGAGTGGTTTCCCGTTATCTTCTCCAAAGATTCCTTTTCTTTATTATCTGTAAATTATCTTCTAAAGATAGTGGAGTGGTTTCGTTATCTTCCAAAGATTCCTTTTCTTTATTATCTGTAAATTGCCATGACTTCTTGGGAAAGATAGTGGAGTGGTTTCCCGTTATTTCCAAAGATTCCTTTCTTTATTATCTGTAAATTGCCATGACTTCTTGGAAAGATAGTGGAGTGGTTTCCCGTTATCTTCCAAAAGATTCCTTTTCTTTATTATCTGTAAATTGCCATGACTTCTTGGGAAAGATAGTGGAGTGGTTTCCCGTTATCTTCTCCAAAGATTCCTTTTCTTTATTATCTGTAAATTGCCATGACTTCTTGGGAAAGATAGTGGAGTGGTTTCCCGTTATCTTCTCCAAAGATTCCTTTTCTTTATTATCTGTAAATTGCCATGACTTCTTGGGAAAGATAGTGGAGTGGTTTCTTATCTTCTCCAAAGAATTATCTGTAAATTGCCATGACTTCTTGGGAAAAGATAGTGTTTCCGTTATTCTCCAAAGATTCCTTTTCTTTATTATCTGTAAATTGCCATGACTTTGGGAAAGATAGTGGAGTGGTTTCCCGTTGTCTTCTCCAAAGATTCCTTTTCTTTATTATCTGTAAATTGCCATGACTTCTTGGGAAATATAGTGGAGTGGTTTCCCGTTGCCTTCTCCAAAGATTCCTTTTCTTTATTATCTGTAAATTGCCATGACTTCTTGGGAAATATAGTGGAGTGGTTTCCCGTTGTCTTTCTCCAAAGATTCCTTTTCTTTATTATCTGTAAATTGCCATGACTTCTTGGGAAAGATATGGAGTGGTTTCCGTTGTTTCTCCAAAGATTCCTTTTCCTTTATTATCTCCATTTCTTTGGTTTCCTCGTTGCTTTCTCCAAAGATTCCTTTCTTTATTATCTGTAAATTGCCATGACTTCTTGGGAAAGATAGTGGAGTGGTTTCCCAAAGTTGTCTTCTCCAAAGATTCCTTTTCTTTATTATCTGTAAATTGCCATGACTTCTTGGGAAAGATAGTGGAGTGGTTTCCTTTCTCCAAAGATTCCCTTTATTATCTGTAAATTGCCATGACTTCTTGGGAAAGATAGTGGAGTTTTCCGTTATCTTTCTCCAAAGATTCCTTTTTTTATTATCTGTAAATTGCCATGACTTCTTGGGAAAGATATGGAGTGGTTTCCGGATTCCCTTTATTATCTGTAAATTGCCATGACTTCTTGGGAAAGATAGTGGAGTGGTTTCCCGTTATCTTCCCAAAGATTCCTTTTCTTTATTATCTGTAAATTGCAAAAAGATAGTCCTTTCCAAAGATTCTTTTCTTTTATTATCTGTAAATTGCCATGACTTCTTGGGAAAGATAGTGGAGTGGTTTCCTGTTGCTTTCTCCAAAGATTCCTTTTTCTTTATTATCTGTAAATTGCCATGACTTCTTGGGAAAGATAGTGGAGTGGTTTCCGTTGCTTTCCCAAAGATTCCTTTTCTTTATTATCTGTAAATTGCCATGACTTCTTGGGAAAGATAGTGGAGTGGTTTCCCGTTGCCTTCTCCAAAGATTCCTTTTCTTTATTATCTGTAAATTGTCATGACTTCTTGGGAAATATAGTGGAGTGGTTTCCTGTAAATTGCGTTGCTTCTCCAAAGATTCCTTTTCTTTATTATCTGTAAATTGCCATGACTTCTTGGGAAAGATAGTGGAGTGGTTTCCCGTTTCTTTCTCCAAAGATTCCTTTTCTTTATTATCTGTAAACTTTTGGGAAAGATAGTGAGTTGCTTTCTCCAAAGATTCCTTTCATTATCTTCTTGGGAAAGATAGTGGAGTGGTTTCCCGTTATTTCTCCAAAGATTCCTTTTTTTTTATTATCTGTAAATTGCCATGACTTCTTGGGAAAGATAGTGGAGTGGTTTCCCGGAAATATCCAAAGATTCCTTTCTTTATTATCTGTAAATTGCCATGACTTCTTGGGAAAGATAGTGAGTGGTTTCCCGTTATCTTTCTCAAAAGATTCCTTTTCTTTATTATCTGTAAATTGCCATGACTTCTTGGGAAAGATAGTGGAGTGGTTTCCTTTCTCCAAAGATTCCTTTTCCTTCTCCAAAAAGATTCCTTTTCCGTTATTTCCAAAGATTCCTTATCTTTATTATCTGTAATGACTTCTTGGGAAAGATAGGAGTGGTTTCCCGTTAGTTCCCAAAGTTTCCTTTTCTTTATTATCTGTAAATTGCCATGACTTCTTGGGAAAGATAGTGGAGTGGTTTCGTTATCTTTCCAAAGATTCCTTTTCTTTATTATCTGTAAATTGCCATGACTTCTTGGGAAATCTTCTCCAAAATAGTGGAGTGGTTTCCTGTTATCTTCTCCAAAGATTCCTTTTCCTTATCTGTAAATTGTGGGGAAAGATAGTGGAGTGGTTTCCGTTATCTTCTCCAAAGATTCCTTTTCTTTATTATCTGTAAATTGCCATGACTTCTTGGGAAAGATAGTGGAGGTTTCCGTTATCTTCTCCAAAGATTCCTTTTCTTTAATATCTGTAAATTGCCATGACTTCTTCTCCTCCAAAGATTCCTTTTCTTTTATTATCTGTAATTGCCATGACTTCTTGGGAAATAGTGGAGTGGTTTCCTGTTATCTTCTCCAAAGATTCCTTTTCTTTATTATCTGTAAATTGCCATGACTTCTTGGGAAAGATAGTGAGTGGTTTCCGTTCCTTCTCCACAGATTTTTTCTTTATTATCTGTGAATTGCCATGACTTCTTGGGAAAGATAGTGGAGTGGTTTCCGTTGCCTTCTCCAAAGATTCCTTTTCTTTATTATCTGTGAAATTGCCATGACTTCTTGGGAAAGATGGGAAATATAGTGGAGTGGTTTCCCACAGATTCCTTGTCTTCTCCACAGATTCCTTTTCTTTTATCTGTGAATTGCCATGACTTATTATCTGTGAATTCCTTTTCATTATCTGTGAATTGCCATGACTTCTTGGGAAAGATAGTGGAGTGGTTTCCCATTTCCTTCTCCAAAGATTCCTTTTCTTTATTATCTGTGAATTTCCATCTGTGTTGTCTTCTCCACAGATTCCTTTTCTTTTATTATCTGTGAATTGTCATGACTTCTTGGGAAAGATAGTGGAGTGGCTTCCATTTCCTTCTCCACAGATTCATTATCTTATTCCCAGGAAATTTAAAAGGGACAGATATACACATTTAGATGACTTGGCAAGCCTGGCTTTCTACATGATTCTGACAAGAATTGCTCCTTTACAATACTTTTAAAAGTTAGAGATTTGAATCAGTTGCGGAACAACCGTCATCATATAGCTGAGGATGGCCCTCCTGAACTTCCTTGAAAATATACGAGCGGATACGGAAATTAGCGATAAAGCTCCATTGTAGACGAAAAGTTGCAAACATACTCTACAGCTATTTTCCTGGCTGGTTGGCTTACGACCATATCACGTTGAAACACCGGTTCACGTACGATCAATGAAAGTAAGCAACGTTGAGTCTAGTCAGTACCTGGATGGGTGATCGCTTGGGAGTACCAGGTGTGGTAAGATTGGATGTACGGGTGGTGTAATAGATAACGCCTCGGAATGAGAAATTGGAAAGCTGAGTTCGAATTTCACTGGTTTCGGTATTTTCTCTAAAGCCGAAATACTCTTGGGAAAAGTATGACTTCATCGCGTCTTCTCCCAGCTAGGGGTTAAATATTAAAATTTTTATAAGAAGTCATTATTATCTAAAAATAATCTTACAATTCAAAAATATGTTTCAGTTTTAAATAACTTGTAAAGGATTGATAAGCCGTAAAATCAAATCAATCATTTCTGCAATCTTGCTCTATCCGAATTCGCCACCAGTTAAAAGATGTGTAATTAGGGGAGATAAAAGACACGGTAGTTTGGATAATCACTGGAGCACTGTAAAATCAATTTAAAGTACTAACATCTACCGCAGATAAGGTAGAGTATGTTCTCTTTCAGCTCCACTCTTGACTTGTCTGGAATACTTTTGACAGATTTACGCCCTAGAACCGAAGTTCTACTGAGTGATATGAGCATATCTCCGTCACTGGTTTCAGACATAATTTCGAAATTAGATCCCCACAAGGTAAATGGATGTGACGGGATCCCTGCCGTCATCTTAAAGCAATGTGCTTCTGTTCTCTCCAGATTTACAACAAATGCCTCGATGCTTCCTGCTTTCCATCTTGTTGGAAGTCTTCCTTTATAGTTCCTGATTTTAAGGACTCTGGAGAACTCTCTGATCCCTTAAATTATCACCCTATTAGTGACTTACCATTTTTTTTGGCAAAGTACTCGAAGCTTTAATCAATGCCAATTTGTTTAAGCATCTTTCGTACAAACAATATGGCTTCCGTTTCGACAGGTCTATTGCTAATATCTTAACGAATATCACTGAATTTGTCTCTTAAGCTTTAGATAAGAATGGCGAAGCTCGAGATGTGGCGCTAGGTATGTCGAAAGCGTTCGACATACTTTGGCAAGCTCGAGTGATAATGTGTCACAGGAGGAATATTTGGATTTGTTCCTAACAAATCGTGTAATGAAGATCGTGTTGAATACGCACACTTCCAGATATGTTCATGATAATGCGGGTGCCTTCTGGGACACTATTCTGGGGCCTACGCTGTTTGTGACCATCATTAATGAGCCCCCCGATGCCATCATTTCCCAACTGGGTGTTTATGCAGATGACACAAGCATTTACTCCTGTCTTAGTAGCAAATACGAAAGAACTGATAAAGTAAATCTGACAACTATTCTTGGAAACGACCTCCAATCATTTGTTAATTGGCGCAAGAAATAACTTGTAAATTTTAACGCTTCCAAAATAAAACTGTTTTTAATTAATCACCACAGAGAACATTTCTGCTTGCCATCAGCATGGCTGATGCTAAACCTCATGTGAGAAACAGACTACGCCTTCTTGGCATGATGTGGAGGAAATATATCGAATTACTTCATTTGTCTACTCAATGAAAGTTGTTTCACCATGTTTTGCTAGACAAATTTTCTCTTCAGAATCCATCTTGCACATTTAAATATTTTACCATTCGTCCGTGCATTGAATACTCTTGCCATATTTGGTCTATTTCTCTTGCTGTACATCTTGAAATTCTTGACAAAATCAAAAGAAGGATCTGCAATGTAATCAATCCTGACCTGGCATCTTGACTTCAGTCAGATTCTCATTGACGTGATATCCCTTTTTTTTTTTTTGGCTTTTCTACAAATATTTTCATGGCAACTGCTCTGACAAGATTTTTTCCCCAGGTACTCCGACTTCAGAAATTTAAGCGTGCTACGAGATTGGCAAATAGGTTCCACCATTTTACTGTTTAAATAGTTTGATTTAACTTCTACTCTAACAGTTTCTTTTTTAGCACTTTCCACTTGTAAAACACCCTTCCCGTATCTTGTTTCTCTGTTGACTACAAACTTTAAAAATTAAAATGCAACGCCAATCGCCATCATCTGTCATCTTGAACTGTGTTCCTTTTTTTCCTTTCCTCAATCCTCTCCATTCTCTTTCACTTTCAGTTCTACTGGCATTAACGTTTTCATTGGGGCGAAACGATTAAAAAAAGTGTGTGTGAATGTTTGTGCGTTTGTATGTATATATATATGTGTGTATACACACACACACACACACACACACACACACACATATATATATATATATATATATATATATATAGTGTGAAGAGTTCTGCACACACCTTCACCACTTTAATCAAATCCCTTGTGTGGGTTTTCTGGTGGTTTAATTTGATTCGTTCATTCGTATCCACACAGTTCTCTTGCATTATCCTAATGTACAGCCATCTAGATCAGGGCTACAAGAACGCAGAACGCTCATGGCTAAGATACAAAGACAAGCTGAAGAGCAACTTGTCAGCTGTCAATATACCCTTGAGCGCTTAGCCTTGGAGCCGGTAGAATGGAGATCAACGTGTTTTAGTGGACTCATCAGTTTACAATCAGCTTGTCTGAATCGTCTTCAAGAAGCGAGAGCAAGATCTAAAAGGTCAGTCAATCTAACAGTGATCTCATCCCACAATCCTTACTCTTGCTCCATATGCGGCCTCCTTTGTAAAACACTAGCGGGTCTTAAGTGCCACAAGATTATCGCACAAAATTTCATAACTGAATCAACTATGCTGTCAGATCCTCATACGTTGAAACCGACGGGAGAGTCAATTATTATTATATTAGAGTGTGCAGTTTGTATTTTATATAAGAAAGAAACAATTTATGCAAAGAAGTAAATAAGAATGTTAATGTGATTAATCACATTAACATTGCTAACAAGACATTAAGATACTATCAATTCCTTGAATAATAAGATCCTTAGATTCGAGTTGTTGGATGGAAGACACATGCCGTTTACTTTCAACAATTTCAAATTGTCCCCTTCAGCACACAATTATCACTTTTCGAAATTCAAACAAAAATTTCACTTGTTTCATTTAAAACTGTTTTTAATTAATCACCACAGAGAACATTTCTGCTTGCCATCAGCATGGCTGATGCTAAACTTCATGTGAGAAACAGACTACGCCTTCTTGGCACGCTCTGAAGCATATATTTAACTGTCAATAAATAGCATATTAAAAAAAATCGTTCTAAATATATTTAGTGTTTTCTTATGTATCGGAAAAAAAAAAAATCTACGCCCTGAAGAAGTTGAAATTGTTGAAAGTAATTGCCATGTGTCTTCCATCCGACAACAACTCGAATATAAGGATCTTATCTTGATTGGGCCTTCATCACAATACCCAGGGAAAAGTAGATGCGATAGACAACAATAAACTACAGAAGAACTCAAAATTGATCGCAGCATTTAAGTATTGCATAAATATTGATGCTTACCTTTTCCAAGTTCAGCGATTATTCTTCTGCTGCCACTTCAGACAGTTTGATGCCCGTAGAAACAATTATTTTTATTTCATGAGTGACTTTCGCTGGATTACCTTTTAAAAGTTCAACCATAATTCTTCTGATGCCAATTAATTTAAAGACAATTTCATGTAGAAATGGTTATTTTTATTTCATGGGTGACTTTAGCTGGATTTCGCAATTAATTTCAATTATTCAAAAATTTATTTCCAAGTTATAAAAATTGTTATCGTACAAAAGAGTTCTTCGCAAAAAATCACGTAAAAAAAAAAAAAAAAACAAATTGCCGAAAAGAATCGCAGTAATGAAAACTTGAGAATCCAAAATTTTAGGATTGCGGGTCTGGATCCGCCCCGGAATGATTTTAATTTGCTCACAGAGTCGGTCTGATTCCAAAATCGTATGACATATTGGGCTAGGACTTCTAGGAGTAAAGTTGAAAAGGTGTGACACACTGACATTTACTATAAAGACGTTATGCGATATATACTAGTAATTGAGCTCAGTATATATAAAAAAAAATAGAGCGTATATGAATATAAAATTTATACTTAAATGCAATCTTCAGGGAAATTCATAAAAAATAAAAAGGTTACGTTCAGGCATGAAACAAACTGTCGCCATCCGATGTTGATCCCAGCGTCAACTTTTATATACGAGGGTGGATTGGAATGTTCATAGGCTGACCATGAAGGAGTGAAATCTTGCATATATTAATTTCAACGCTTCTTATTAAAATTGCATTGTTTCTTTCCAGCTGTTGTTAAGTGTGTTGAGTTTATGACATAACAACATTTGTTGGGTTATTTCTTACCGAATGTTGGTTGAGACATCCAGTGAAGACCGAAAACTTGAGCCAGCAAATATTGTTCTGCAGAAGGATACTGAGAATTCCATGAACGGTGCAAGTAAGCAACAATGAAGTCTTAAAGAAAATGGCAAAGCAAGAAACACTTCTACTCCAAATCCGAAGAGACAGCTAAAATTCTTTGCACAATTGATGAGAAAAGTGGGCTTGGAAAACTTAACACTCACGGGGAATATTAAGAGAGAGAGAGAGAGAGAGAGAGAGAGAGAGAGAGAGAGAGAGAGGAAGGCACAGAGAGAGAGAGATGCAGAGAGGGAAAGAGAGAGGAACGGGCCGTGGTAGCCTTAGCAAAGGAAGAAAAATTGATAAGAGCCACACGAGATAGGAAGTTATGGAGAGTCATGATCGCGGCAAATAGAAGACGAACGGCATCGCAACGTCACCAAGAACAACCATAATAACAATAACAGCACCACTACCACCACAACCACAACTATAATAATAATAATAATGAGAAGAAGAAGAAGAAGAAGAATTGGACTTAATTTATCGAGGAGCATTTTTGTTTATACGACTTAACGTGAAAGGATTACAATTTTTCTAGGCTTTTATTTATCCGGACTATTTCCGTTGTTATTGAATTTTCTGTCTATATTTAGCAATCCGACTTGATAAATGTTACGTTTGTGGCTGGCAGGGAAAACAAACAAGAGAAAAGGGATAAAAAATATGTACGCTCGGCGAGCAAACGAAGTCATATTTGAGTAAAAATAGGAAAAACGGAAAGGATTAAAAGAAAGAAAAAAAAAACAGGACACGAAG